AGTCATGCTGGTGTGACTATAGTTACAAGTATCCTATCCCAACTGATTAACAGAATGCCATTACTATAATACCATCTATATATTATATAGGTGATTATTCAAATTTTAGCATCAGTAGCTTTTGAACTCACAACTTACTACTTGGAAGTATGACAACTTATTCACTCACTAAGTTATCATACCCATATCTAAAGATTTTGAAATAGATAATATAGATGATTTAAATGATGAATTTTTATCATAAGGTGCAAAAAAAATAATCTATTAAAAGCTATTTTAAATAAAAGAAATACATTTAGATATAAAATAAATAAACGAAAATTAAATACGATAATAATGAATTGGATTCAAATTAATATAAAAAAATAATAAAATCAATTAATAAAACTCCAGAATGGATATAAAAAAAAGTAACACCAGAATTCTTGAACAAATTTTTAGATAATTTTCTTTAAAGAGAAGATGTTGAAAGTTTAATAGAAAAAAATCTTAATGGATGGTTATAAAAAGAAGATCTTTTACCTAACCAAGATAAATTAAGAGAATATATTTTAATTAAAAAACCTAAACAAAAATAAAAATAGCTGAAATAGAAATTCTAAATTTACTAGAGATATTAATAAAATTACAATATTTAATGCTGAAGTTATAGAAAAAAAAACAGAACTTGATAAATTATTAGCTGATATATATTTATTATTATATATTTTTAACTTGATAGAATTTGATATAGAAGCATTAAAAAATAATGTTGATAGTTATAACATTGATAATTTTGCTAAAATAAAAGATACAAGTGTAAAACTGAAAAAAGATAGAGAACTAAAACTTAAAATAGTTAATGTTGATAAACTAAAAATTCTTCCTATTCTAACTATTAATAATAAAACAACTAAATTAGTAAGATGTTTACTAACATGTATATTTTTTAAAAAACATATTATATTAATTATACCAAATAAAGAATTAGTAGTAGATACTAAAATTTTTTTTTTTTTAACTTTAGCAGTCATGCTAGTATTTTATTAGGATTCTTGAAACTATACAAATTATGTAGAATTTTCCTGATATATAAGTCTAGCATTACCCAGCTACTCAAATGTTACCTAAGTACAATCTGCCACACTATCCCAGTTAGAGATAGACTGCTCGTCTGACTGCCACCTTACAATAGGATATTGCCAATCTGATAACATCTTTTTATAAGGAAGCAAAAAACAAATAAAAAGAATTTTTTATATAAAAAACAAAACAGAGGTATAGAGATAAATAATAAAAGATACAAATTAAGAAATAAAAAGGGAAAAGGAATAAATGAGAAAAAAGGAAATATGTGAAACTTGCAATTCACAAATATCAGATAGTCACAATTGTATGCCTGTGTTAGGCCTTTAAAAATTATAAACTACACTAAATAGAAATAACTCTACTATTTTTCTATTTACTTAGATTATTTAACAAAAAACTATATAAAAAAGAAAAAATCTTCGACTTGATTGTAGAGAATCAGTATAGAGCACTAGTTAGTCTGAAGACAGTATTTTTAGGTTTTTTAGTATTTCAAGACACATGTATAGTCATTTTTGTATTACTGACTTGTTTTGATTCATGTTATCAACAAACCCATTTAGGAAGTAATGTTGTAGTTGAGGAGAGTCTTCCTTATATGTTGCCGGTTTAGCACAGTACTACAAGCATAGATGGAGCCTCAACTTGGCTCCTAACTAACAGACAGGACTAGTTCGGGTGGTTACGATTACTGGTTTGTTGATAGGTCTACAGAAGTCATGTGCCTAACTATATCAGGTTGTCAGTTTTTAATAATAATGTGAGAGTTAGGAATCAAATAATAGGCTATACTATGCAGAACTATCACTTGTCACATTTGCTACAAGTAGGGTTTCAATTTTTATACCATATTTATTTACTAACTTAGCAATAAATTAAAGCTTTATTTACTGGGCATACACTCTATTTATACAGATTTCAGTAGTTGGGTCTTAAACCTCCTGCTGGAGTTTCATACCTGTACCTGGGGTTAGAAACCCTGGATTAGGGTCTTGAACCTGATATTAGGGTTTAGAACCCTATTACTACATTATGCTAACTATGAATTACATATTACAGGATTTCATTCCTTACTCTGGGGTTTCGAACCCTATTACTATGCTATATTAACTTGTTTATAAAAACCATTTATAAGTGTTTCAAACCCTATTACTATGCTATACTAATTTATACTTATAAACAGGTGCAAAGAAAGGCAAAAAGTTTTGTAACATCTTTTTCTGCTTAAAGAATGAGCTCTTGCGAACTCACCACCATTTTTCAAATTTTCTCTTCTTTCAACCTTCCTGCTTTCACCAACATTACCCTAGAAAAATCTCTTTCCAACATTCATTCCAACATCGAAATCGATATATGTTGAACTTGATGCATACATCACTCATCCTGCATGGAAAACAACATATACACTCACTTTGCAATTTTCCATACTAAGCCCACTTTGGGGGCTGAGAGTTACTCGGCCAGCTCCCTTAGTGCTTCATCTTCCCAACCCTTTTTAAACAGCAAGCTTCCTACTTTATAATAGGTCTCTAATATCTTGGACATCAATAGAGTTCTTGGGTTTAGGTCTTTGATGTCACTATGAACATTACTTAGTTTTTCACTCCAGGTTTCTTCAGCACTTCGATAGGCATTGCAAGTTCAGTCTCTATAGGGTGGTCCAAGTCTTAAAGGTACAGAACCAAATAGTTGTAGATTTGCTGAGCCTTGGTCCTCCTTTCTATCCTTCAAAACCCTTCATGGATCTCTTGGTCTTAGTATTGAAAGATCACTTCTTCCTCCTTAACTTTCAGCTCTTCGTCAGGTTCCATTCAGTCCACAAGCTGTTGGATTGTTTTTTTTAAAGTTTCAAAGTGTCGTTTCATTTTTTTTTTTTTTTTTTTTTTTTTTTTAGTGGTTATATACAAAGAATTTTTTTTTTACTATTATCTCATTTTGCTGTCACTTCACACTTTATAATATTTTAATTGACTACTGTGCACTGCCCCTTTTATTACCCTTTTATCATTTCCCATTGTATGTAATTGGTATGTACCATTACCTATTACATCATGCACCTAGTACGGTCCTGACCACTTTTCCTCTAACTTACTACCTAATTGTTTTCTCAGCTTAGTCCAGTACCTTAACATCTTATCTCTGATCTCGAAACTTTGCAAGGAGTAATGTTATCGTGGCTCCACTTCTGCTTTTGTTAGGCCTTGCGAATTTTCTCATGTGCCTTGATCCAAACTTCAAACAGTTCATATGCCAATTTTAAGATTCGGGCTAAAACCATGGACTCGTAGTAGTCATCATCCATAGGATCTACAGGATAAGTTTCCAGCAGTAATTCTATGGGCAACACAGCCTCTCTTCTATACATCAGGTAAAAGAGGTCATATTTGGTCATATCATGCTTAGCCGTCCTACAAGCAAATAGAGCAGTGCTCACATATTTATTCCAATCTCCTTGGTACTGACTTACACACTTTGCTAGCATCTCACAGATGGTTCGATTGAACTATTTAACAAGACCGTTGGTCTGTGGATAATATGTGAATGAGAATTTGTGCTTGATACTGGCCTAGTTACAGGCCTCCTTTATAACCTAGTTTTTAAAATGGGTTCTTTAATCTATCAAAATCTGTCAAGGGCAGCCATGGTAACTAATTATGTCTTCCAACTTAAAGGTGGCAATATATTCTACCATACAGTTATGTAAGCTCGAACCTTAGGCCATTTCACCAAATACTCTATTGCTACTACCAGGTACCTGTTACTGTTTATTATGAGAGGCAAGGGCTCCACTATGTCTATTCCTACTCAGTTGAAAGGTTGTGCCACCTGTATCGGGTGTAATGCCTCTCATGTTTTTGGTTTCCCATAGCATTAACAGGTGTTACAACTCTGTTTGTAGCTTTTGATATCCTCTATCATTTGATTCCAATAGTACCATCTTCATGCTTTCTCTATTGTTGCTCCTTTACCTAAATGGCCAGATGTGGGATCATCATATAAAGCTCTCAGTACCATCTTTACTTTCTCACACTTTAGTACTCTTAAAGGTCGATCAGGCTCTCGACAGTTCTTTCAATACAGCACTCCTTCTCATATAACGTAATACCTAAATTGATTTCTTAACTTTCGGATTTGTTTTTTTGAATATTCCCTAGACAGCTCTAACTTAGTTAGGTACTGAATCAGGTTAGTATAATCTTTGGGTTCCATCTTAAGAATTTGTTTGACTTGTCAGTTTTTTTTTTTTTTTTTTTTTTTTTTTTTGTATATATATATGCCAGGATACCATCACCTGGACTGGATTACAGATTTGGGTCAAGAATCTACTTATAATTGGTTAAGAGTCGTCTAGATGGTAGGTTCAATTCACCTTAGGGTAGCTAGCTCAAAAATACTCATATGTAGTTGGGTCTCTCTTGGCTCATTATTTTTTTTTTTTTTTCGCCTCTTCTAGTTCTTATATTGTTTTGCAGCCTGTCACATTAGTACTTTTATCAGGCTATTGATTTATGCACCCCAGACCCTGAGCATAAATGTTGTAGCCAACCCTTAACTACTACATCCATGTTATTATTAATATTATGCTTATTTATGCGCAGATATATATATATATATATTATTATTATTATTATTATTAATTTTTTTTTTTTTCTTCACTCAGACTTCTTTACCTGTGATAGCCTGTTGATGTTCCCCAGTTGCCTCCCAGTTCGATACTTTACCATGAAATTATAGCTCTGAAGAGTCATGATATATCTCACCATCCTGCCAGTCAGGTTAGCCATATTGTTAAGGTAGGTCAAAGCTGTGTGATCAGTTACTATTGTGAATTGGAATCCATGAAGGTATTGGTAAAACTTCTTCATGGCCCAAATGATAGTGGTATACTCTAACTCAGTTATTGTGTAATTTCACTTAGCAGGCTTCATTGATCAACTGACATATTCTACAACACCTTCAAGTCCATTATCACCAAACTGAGATAGAACAGCACCAAGAGCAAGGTGCGATGCATTTGTGTACAAAACAAATCCAACATCATCCTGAAGGTGAGTGAGGATGGGAGCTGAAGTGAGCCTACTCTTTAATTCGTCGAATGCTTCTTGTTGCTCCTTCTTCCAGGCAAAATTTTCTTCTCATTTCAATAGCTTGTAAAGAGGCATAGCTATACCTGAAAAATCTTTAATGAAGTGATGATAGAAGCTAGCCAAACCTAGAAACTCTCTCAATGCACGAAGGTTATTGGGTCAAGGAAGTTACTAATAGGGGCTACTTTTGTCACAGTTGGTGTTATACCTTTACCAGAGATTTTATGACCAGGAACTCTATTCAGTCTTGTCCAAAATAATACTTGTCTGGATTTAACTTCAGGTTCACTTGGTGCAGTTTACCAAGAATGACATCCACATGGCTCAAATGTTTTTCAAAACTGGAGGAATAGATGTTAACATCATCTATATAGGCCAAGACGAAGTCCTACATCTCTTTTTGAAGTACACGATTCATTAATCACTAGAACATGGCAGGAGCATTTGTTAGGCTGAAGGGCATCACTACAAATTCATATAACCTAAATTTGGTGATAAAGGCTGTCTTTTCGCAATCATATGGATGAACTTCAACCTGCCAGAATCCACTGGCGAGGTCCAAGGTGGTATACTAGATCAAGTTCTTGAAGGCTCCCAATAACCCATTAATTCTCAGAAAAGGGTAGCTATCATGTTTCATTTGTTGATTCAGCTTCCTAAAGTCAACTCACAGCCTCATTTTCCTATTTTTCTTCTTAACCAATATAACAAAAGATGTCCACGAAATGTATGATGGACGAATTAACCCAGCTTCCTCTATTCTCTTTATTTACTGCTCAATAAACTCATGCTCCACCTTGGATGTGAGGTAAAACCATTGCTTTATAGAGGGCATTTCCTCTGTATGAATTTCATGATACACAACAGATGTCCTACTTAGCTGGTCAGGTTTACAGGCAAAAATGTCCTCATACCGTCTTAATACCTTCCTTATTTGATGCTGCTAATCTGGGATCATATTTTCTAGCTTGAAGTTGTCTGTTTTCCTTCTTTCTGTATATAGTCTTGCTTTTCAATCTGCAACTTCATTCCACATACACTCTGATTCATAATATCCTCTTCATAAGCACAGTCTGCACATGACATTGGTCTCCTCCCTTATAGGATAAAACCTGTAATACAACTACGTTTGACTTACTAACCCTTCCTTCTCTTCATACTCTTCCTCTTCACTAAATTCTGATTCGTCCTCATCTTTACCATCTTCATCACTTTCCAAATTACTTCCTTCATCTTTTTTATTCCTCTCCTCATTTGTGGCCATCTTTGCTATTCGATCCCCAATGTTTGCTGGCTTACAATACTCAGTTGGAACCTTTATTCTCTCATTTCCATCACTTAGCATTAACTCACAGGATTTCCAATCCAATTATGCTTGAGCCTTTCTTATCTAATCATTCCTCACGATTACTGTGTAGTTTCTAGCATCAGTTACAACTGCTCGGGACATTATAGTTTTTTCTCCAACAGTTACTGAAAATTCATCAATCTCTCCTAGTGGCCTTTTTTGTTCACCTTGTACACCTGTCATCATCACTGTAGATGGATGATTAATCATTATGCCAACATCCTTTAGGAACCCAGCAGAAACAACACAACCAGAGGAGCCACTGTCCAAGATTAAAATAATTGGTTTACTGTTTACTTGAG